CGCGCAGCCGTGCCTCCGCGCTGCGGCAGCGCTCGAGGATCGGCAGCGAATCAACGTTCTTTTTCTCGATCGGCACGATGACTACCTGGGTCGGTGCGACGCGCGACGGCAGCCGCAGCCCTTTGTCGTCACCGTGGATCAAGATTAGCGCGCCGATTGAACGCGTCGACAGCCCGAAACTCGTCTGGTGCACGTGCGAGAACTCCCCGCTTACTCGCTCGTACTTCACGTCGAAGATCTTCGCGAAGTTCGCTCCGAGGTAGTGCGAAGTCGCGGCCTGAATGCTGCGGCCATTCACGTTCACGAATCCCTCAACCGTGTAGGTTACTTCGCCGCCCGCGAACTTCTCGAGCTCACTCTTGCGGCCCTTCGCGACTGGGATGGCGAGCAGTTCCTCGTAGACCGCGCGGTACACTTCGAGCATTTTCAATGCGAACGAGTCGGCCTCCTCTGCGGTTGAGTGAGCTGTGTGGCCCTCCTGCCACAAAAACTCCCGCGTGCGAATGAACGGCGTCGGGTGGCTGAATTCCCAACGCACGACTGGGCACCACTGGTTTAGCTTCAGAGGCAAGTCGCGGTGCGAGCGGATCCACTTCGAGAACGCTGGGTACATAATGGTCTCACTGGTTGGACGGATCGCAATCGGCTCCGCAAGGTCGGACGAGCCGCTCTTTGTGACCCAAGCAACCTCCGCCGAGAACCCTTCGAGGTGGTCCTCTTCTGCCGTGAGTTTGCCTTTGGTAACGAACATCGGAAAGTAGCAGTTCTTGATGCCGTGCTCTTTGAACTTTGCGTCTATGAACTGCTGTATGAATTCCCACACCGCGAAGATGTTGGGCCGCAGAATGTAGCAGCCCGCAACGTCATAATACTCGATGAGCTCCGCCTTCGTCAGCACCTCGTGGTACCATTTTGCGAGGTCATCCGAGCGCGAACACGTGATGCCAATCAGCGCCGGTTTCGCAACGGCAGAAGTTTCTGCGTCACACGACTTACCTTCCTTCTTGCCACCAGCCATGCAGTTTGCTCGGATTATTCCAAAGAATCAATATAGTGCGAATAATTGCTTAAAATGTTCGGCAGCCCACAGGTAGCGAACAACTTGTAAGCGTTCGGCTTCAGGACTGCGTCGGCAGCGCACGCACTTACCTTTGCTTCCGCGTATCGACTGCGCGAGAAACGACAAGTCGAAGAAACTGCGCGCCTCGCAACGGCCAGTCGTCGCGTTGAAGAAGCGCTTCGGCGCGTAGGCATTGCAGAGGAACGGTCCCCAACAGGCGACGACTGCGACAACTTTCTAGAAACTTACGCTGGTCCATTAGTGCGTCGCTTTGCACGAGTTTACGCGCGACTCGATCCGCAAGCCGCTGCGCGAGCGCTGCTGCGTGAGCGGTCGAACTTACTTTCTACGAGCGCGGCCTTCTCGAGACTCGAGACGTCCCACGCGCATCGCGGCAGGAGTGCGAGCGCGGAGTGATCGCGCTGCGGTGCGACGCGACGCGCGGCTGCGGCCAAGAGTGCCGCGATGATCGCGAACATCTACCCGTTACTGATTCGCTGCGGGAGACAAAACGCATTCTTATTTTGTATCAATTTTTTGATTAAAAACCCAGCAGCAAACATGGAGGGCGAAGACAGGACTGGCAAGCCCGTAATGGTAAGTGCTTCATAATTCAATCGCGAACACGGTAAAATTCAGGTTTCGGGCGCCAAATTCTGCCGCGGCTACGTCAACCTGATCCGCTATCTTTTTGCGGACCAGAAAGAGACTGAGGAAATCACGGTAACCGCGCTCGGTAACGCGATCAGCAGCGCCGTGCTTGTTGCGCACCTGGTCGAGGAGGCCGGCGTGGCCTCCATCGGCAAGATCAGCACTTCGTACAACGCGAACAACATGACATACGGGGACGGCAAGCCGCGCAAGATCACCCGCATCACTCTTGTTCTGCACCGCAACAAAGACTGGGTACCGCAAGAAGAGGACTTCGTGAAGGACAAACTGCGCAGCAAGAACGCTCGTCGGTACTCCGCGCGCGAAACCGAGGAAGCGTAGATACGGGTTGCCATTGCTACCGTCGCTCATTGTTTCATTTTTACTTAATTCAATTTGGTCTTTTGCCCAGCAACATAGAATCTGATGGAACCTATGGGTACCTCTGGTGATGCGAAGTGCAGCGGCGAAATTCGGTGCTTTTACGAGGACTTCGTTGTCCGCGAGATTTCTCTCACGGGCACCGTCAGTGCGATTGACGCAGACGCCATCATTGATGCGCAGCTCAAAGGTGTGCTCGACGAACTCGTCGGCTACTGTTTGCCAGAAATTTCGGAGTCTACGTTGCAAACCGCCAGTGCGCAGCTACCAAACGACGCGTCTGATGCGCTTCGCGCACTCACGGCGTACCTGCAGTCCGTCGCGAAGCTAAACACTGAGCGCTTTCCATGCAAAGCGTTTTCCCGAGCGCGCTTTTTCCAGCAAAAAAAGAGCGTCCAAAGCGAGTATGCGCAGCTCGCACAAGTAAAGTTCACGGTCGTTTGCCACGCGCCGCTAAACAAGGAGCAGCGCGGCGAGCTACACAAATTCATCCGCAAGAACTTCAAGTTCCTGCAGTCCCGCACGGTGCTCGAGCCCTCCGAGATTGTACAAAGCTTCTTCCTTCCTGCGTACAAGACACTACCGGAACAGCGGGGCGCTGAGCTGCCTGTCGCGGCGGGCTGCACCGTGATCGAGTGCCGCGTGCTGCCCGAGTGCTTGTACTACGTGCTCGGTTTCCAGCTGGAAATGCTCGTAAGCTGCAATTCGAGCGGTGCGCTGCGCGTGAGTGAGAAAACGCCGAACTTTTGCATTGCCACGTTGTGCAAAATCAACATGCAGCACAACACCGCTCTATCGCTGCTGGCGCGCGAACTCGGCGTGAAGCTCAAGCAAATCTTCTTCTGTGGCACCAAAGATAAGCGCGCAGTAACATTCCAGCGCATCGCGGTGGAACACGTAAGTCGCGACAAACTGCTGCTGCTGAGCAAGACGCGGCCGATCAACGGCGTGCGGCTCTCAAGTCCCGAACCGAGTAAAACACCGCTGACGCTAGGCGCTCACTCAGGAAATCTGTTCAGCGTAGTGGTGCGCCGCGTAGATGACATCTCAAAGTTTCAGAAAACGTTTGCGGCTGTGAGTGCGCGCGGCGGCTACCTAAATTTGTTCGGCGTGCAACGCTTTGGAGTATTCCAAATCAAGTCCCAACACGTGGGTATTTTGCTGCTGCGCTGCCGCTATCGCGCCGCGGTGCTGGCGATCCTGTTCAACTTGCTGCGCGCCAAAACAGTCGACGCTGAGCTAGCGAGCATTCTGAGTAGCGAAGCTGAGTTCGCGAGCGCTAGCGCGGAAGATCGCTTTGCAAAGCTTGAGCAGTTCCTCGAAGCGCAAGACTTATTCAGCAACCTCGAGGAACGCAGAGACGAATATGCGCAGATGTTTCACAGCTTGATTGCTGCGCCAAACAACTTCGAAGGTGCGCTAAAGCTGCTTCCGCACAAACTTCTGACAATGTACTATCACGCGGTACAGAGTGAGGTTTGGAACTACATGGCTGCGCAAACGGAGAAGCAGTTAAGCGCAGGCTCGCTGCAGCACTGCTATGCGCTGAACGCTGAAGTCGCACTCGCGGACTCATGTAACGTCAAAGCGGACGCAGTCTCCTTTTGCGAGCTGCGCGAGACGGAGACGGAGCACATTGTTGTGCCTCTGCTCGGATCGCGTATCTCGCTCGAGCCTAAGTACGCGGAGTTCGCGGAAGCTGCGTTGCAGCGCTTAACAGGGCTTAACTGCGCTGAGCTCGTCAACGGCTCGAAACTCGTGGAACTCCCAGGCGGATTCCGACGGCTGTTCATGCCTATCCGGCAGCTGAACGCAGCGTTGTTCAAAGATTCCGGCCGACCGCTGATCGTGACGGAAATTGACGATGAGTTCAAGACAGCGAAACACGTGGGACAGTTCCAGGCGGTGTTCCGCGCAGACGCTGAGGTGCTCGCAGAGGATTTGCGCTGCGCCGACTTGACTGGCTTGCACGAAGCGGGCCCGCTTGCCGTCGCATTGGAGTGCTACATCGAGAAAGGCGGCTACTTGACGAGCGCGCTTGGCGAGTTCTTTGACCTCATTGCATACTCCTCGCCGGAGAGCGATGACTGCTACAAAAAGTTCAAGATTGAAAAAATACACAGAGGGGGATTCGAACCCCCGCAGGCATAGGCCTAGAAGATCTTGAGTCATCCCCCTTAGACCACTCGGGCATCTGTGCAGAATCTGAGGTTGCAACGCGGCTAACTTCTGTCGATCACAAAAAGCTGAAGACGTAAAATTAAAAACTCCGAGACGGGGAATCGAACCCCGGTCTTCCGCGTGACAGGCAGAAATACTAACCACTATACTATCTCGGATGTTTAATGAGCGTGGGCGCCGACTGAGCGACGAGCGCGCATCTCAACTCTTCCAGTCGCGAACGCTGCGGCCGAGCCGCGGCGGCGTGGGTGGCCGACCGTTGTCGATTTCGAGCCAAGTAGGTTTCTCAACGCGACCGACGCTGCGCTGGCCGGGGTAGATAATCTTAGGAACGATCATCAAGTCGCGGCGAATATAGAGCAGCGCGCCAGCGTTCTTGTGCACGTTGCAGTAGTCGGTGGCGCTGAAGACGGTAATCAAGCGGCCGCCCGCGAAGCGCTCGAAGCCGTCCATGACGCACTCGTGCGCGCGGATGATGAGATCCAGGTTGTTGGCGCGCAGGAACTCGATAACGCGGTCGGGCCCAAAGCGCACGATCTTTCCGTTGAGCTCGGGGTCGCGGATCTCGTTGGGCTCGATGCCCGTGCAGCTGTCGTTCTCGGTTGGGTCTGACCAGAGAATATCGGTGAGCCGCTGCGCGATCAGCGAGTCGGGGTTCAGCGAAACGACCGCGGGGCGCGGAATCTGCTCTATGTCGGCGACGGCATTGACCGTGCTGCCGATGCCTCCGTGTAGACACATGATGCGGTCCTCGATGAGCGCGGCAAGCGGCAACTGCTCAAACAACTGCTTGCGCGCGGCGCGGACTTACGAAATTAAAGTAGTTGTAGCAAGAAGTTGGGCTGCTCGGGTTTTCGAGCAGGCGCCGGCGACACTCGTCTCGAAAGCCGTAGAGGCAGTTGATCTTCGCATCTTCGTGGTTGCCGCGGATCAACGAAATCTGCGCCGGGTACTGCACCTTCAGCGCTAGCAACAGACAGATCACCTCGAGTGAGTTAGTCCCGCGGTCGACGAAGTCACCGAGGAACAGGTAGTCGATGCTGCCGATGTCGCCGGCGTGCTTGTCAACCCCGAAGTACTCTTCGTCGACGGGCGACTTGTAGAAGCCGAAGAGCCGCATGAGGTCGTAGTACTGGCCGTGGATGTCGCCGAAGACTGCGTGCCGGCGTGCAGCACTTACCTTTGATCGGCGCTCGGAGACGCAACACGCTGGGCTCTTTGCTGATGATGTCCACGCAAAGTTTGATGAGCGCGGCGATCTTTTCGGGCGGCAGACAGAACCGGTCGTTCGTGTTGAAGCGCCGCTCGACAGAGTCGAGCGAGAGGCCCGGGTGCAGCAGCGCGGCGATCACCTCGCTCGCGAGCTCGTGCGACTCGGGCGGGCAAACCAGCGCATGCTTCGCGCTAGCCGGCGTGCCGAAGCCGCGGATTTTTTTGGACTCTTGGTCGAGGTCGTTGAGCATAACGCGCAGCATCGCGGGGCCAGCGTCACTTGGCACGTCGACGCCAGTGATGACGTGCCGCGCGAGCGAGACAGACGCACGCGCGACGGCTCGCGCGCCGAGCTGCTCTCCCATCTGCAAGAATTCGGCGGGGGGCGCGGCGCCGCTCGGCGGACGCGGCAGCGCTTCGTTGAGCACTGCGACGTCGAGGTAGCGCAAGTCGCTGGCGGGCGTGTTTTGCGCGAAGTGGTCGAAGCCACCGAAAGTGAACACGCGGTTGTCGAGCAGCCAGCTCGAGTGCCGGAACCGCGAGACGGCGGGCAGCGCGGTCCACTCGCAGCTCTCAGTGTCGTAGACCGCGGAGTTCAGCGGCTTGCCGACCTCGCAGTCGCGGCCGCCGACTAGGACTAGCTTGCGCCCGAAAAACACCGCGCAGTGCTGGTAGCGCGCGGCGGGCAGCGAGCCGACCTTCAGCGGCGCGGGCAGCCAGTCCCACAACCCGGACCGGTGCCGACGCAGCCCCCAGATGTCGTTCAGCGAGACGCCGCTTTGCGCGCGCCCGCCAAAGACGACCATCATGCCCTGCGCAGTGCCCGTGTGGCAAACTACTGCTGAGTGGTACACGCGCGGGCAAGGCGCCTGGTTCGAGACGAACTCCACGCGCTTCCAGGAGAAAGGCGTTTCGTGGATGTTCAGCACCCAAAGGTCGTTGAGCGAATTGATCCCGTCGTTCCCGCCAAACAGCACGAGGTACGGGCGCACGTACGTGAGCGAGTGCCCGTAGCGACGACCTGGCGTCGGACCTGAGAGCGGCACCACGTTCCACTTGAGGTTCTCGGAGCCGTTGGTGATGTTCACGGTGTACAGCTCCTCGGTCGCGAGCGAGCCTCCGCCGGTCGCGCCGCCGTAGATCAGGTATTGTCCGTTTTCGATGCACGTCGCCGCGTGCGCGGCTCGCGCGCCCGCAGAGTTCTGCGGTTTCAGTTTCTGCCACACGAAGTTGTTTGTGTAGAGCAGGTAGAGGTCCGCGGTGATTTCGTACTTGCCCGAGTCGCCCACGGCACCACCGTAGAGCAGCGCCATCTTGTTCGAGACGGGCGTCACGCTGTGTCCGAAGCGCGACGCAGGCACATCGCCGCTGTGCTTCTGCTCCAATTCCATTTTAGCCGGCTTCGCGTCGCGGGCTATTCAGCGCAGACCTGCAAGCCGCTGGAACAATTTTCCGAAAACCGCATTTATTTATTGCGAGCGCAAACCCAGCCACATGGAACCGATGTTGCTAAACCCTCTGATCAGCTTTATGGCGTGGATGTTGTTCTTCCACGGCTTTGCTCTGCCGGTAAGTTCATAACTGCGCAACGCAGCTTTCGGAAGCGCGCTGCATGCAGCATCGCTACTATACGGAGCAATACAAGCGCAACTTCTACGTCAACACTGTTGCGATCGCGCATGCACTGCTCGTTGGGCCGTTGGCACTGTACATTATGCTTCACTCTTGGTGGCACAATTGGGAAATAGTGGGCTGGCACATCACCCTGGTTGAGACGCTGCTGCAGATTTCCCTTGGCTACTTCGGCTTCGATTTCATTTACACTCTCTCAAACGTACGGGAAATCGGAATAGACTTCCTCTTTCATGGCATCTTCGGCTCAATTGGTGTCTTAGTGATTTACTTGATCAATTCGCCGATTCTAAACACGATCTGTGCCACGTCGCTCGCTTCGGAAATTTCGACGATCTTCTTGCACTTGCGCCACTTCGGGATACTTTTCAACTTCAGAAGAGGTTGGCTCCTCTTCTGGTCGCTGCTTTTCGCGATTGTCTTCCTGGGATTTCGATGCATATTCATGGTGTTCATCGTGACGCCTTACTTCGTAAACTTAGTTCCGGAAGCACTCCATAGCTTAAACGGCGAGACCTCACAGGTCGTGTTGTTCACGTACTTGCTCATTGCTTGGCTCGGCTGGATAGTGCTGAACTATTACTGGGGTTTCTGTATCCTGCGCACGCTCTACGTGTACTTATTTTCGTTTAAGCCGAAGCGCCCCGCAGAGAAAGTCGTGTAGTTGCGTTTCGCCGAAAGGTGCAAGATAATTTAGCAGAGCCGAGTCAAGAATGCCAGACGCTCACGCCGCCTCAGAGCTGCCGAAGAGCGGCTGGCTTAGCGACAGTTTGCGTCAGTACTACCAGGCGCGCCTCCCAGCCGAAACGAAGACCCGCGTAGGCGGCGCACCAACCGACGCGGTGGCGCAGAGAGCCGCTTGCGTGAGTCGCGAGTCGTGCTGCAGTTATGCCTCGCTACGCTCCTCCGGCAGCCGCGCGGCGGCCACAGCGCGGCGCGCAGACGCGCAGAAAACCGCTTTTTCCACACATCTGATTGACTTGCAAAAGCTGACGCGCTTCAAGACGCAGTCTGCCGCGCAGGCGCCGACCGCAGCTGCTAGCAACAGCACTGGAAGCGTCGTAGCCAGCCGCAGCGCGGCCCCCAGCGGCTCCGTCAGCGGCTCCGTCAGCCGCTCCGTCAGCGGCTCCGTCAGCGGCTCCGTCAGCGCGCTGCGGAAGCCGTTCGAGCAGCGACTTGCTCGCGATCGAACTCGCGGAAATCAGCGCGCCTGCGATCCCCCGCACGCACCAGCATCACAGAGCATACGCAACGCTGCGGGCGGGTCTGCGGCCTCAGCTTGCGCCGCGCCCGACAGCGGGGCCGCGCCTGATTGCGGCTCTATCAAAGAATCTATTTTTAACGAGTATCTGAAATCGGTACGCAACTCAAACTTGGTGCCGCTGAGCACTGACCAGCTCAATGCAGCTGAGAAGCAGTTTTGCTTTGAGTACGTAGCACACAGTTTGGACGATTTTGAGCAGCTCGAGACCGAAGAACTCTCTTTTTCGCAGTTCTACAATCCGCTGCAGTGCGCGTCACGCGCACCGGCGCAGCGCACGCCGCCGCGCGAGTGCGCCGCGCGCACAGAGTTACTGCAGTTTCTGAGCGCTTTCGCCGCGCAAAGCGCCGCGCGCCAGCACTTGGAGCTGCTCGACCCGGTGTTCACGCGCGTCGTGGGCTTCGGCTTCGGCGACTCGAGTCTGGCGCACAAGCGCGGCGACTTGTCCGCGCTGCTGCTCCTGTTGATCCACGCTTGGCTCGCTGAGGCGCTTGACGACGCGCAATCGCTCTGCGTCCGCAACTGCGAACTGCGCGACGCGTACGTGGACGAGTCGCTGCAGGAGCTCGACATCGTCGAGCGCAACGAGGCGCTTTTCCTGCTTCGCAGTTTGGCGGGCGTCGTGTCGCGGCTGCTAGACCCTGCGCAGTTGCGCCGCGCAGCGGCGCTCTGCGGCAAGCACGCGCCCACCCACGCGGAGCTTTCGCACGCGAACGTTAACTTCTTTCGCGCGCTGATGCGCGCGCTGGACGCCCCGTACTGCCTTGCGGCGCTGCACTCAAGCGCGGCGCAGCGCTTTGCCGCTTTTGAGCGCTGTGCTGCTTGCGCGCCCAGCGCCGCGCTGCTGGCAACGCCACCCGCGCAATCGGGCCTTGCGCGCCGGCTGCAGCAGACACTCGCCACAGCAGAAAGCGACGCGCGCGAGGCCGCGCAATTTTTCGCTGCGCTGCGGAAGCAATTTCCGCAGTACTGCAGCGCGCTGGCCGCCGCGCTTTCCGCGGCGCTGCAGGCCGCAGGCACCGGAGTCGAGCCTTCGCGCTTCGCCGCGCTCAGCGCAGTCTCCAACGTGGAGTACACCGTGCGCGCCGGGCTGCTGCCGAAGGCGTTTCTGCAAGGGGGGTACGTAGAGCGCAGCGAACGCGAGCGCGACGCGCTCTACTCGCCGCGGCAGCTTCCACACGCGGCGCTACTCAGTGTGTTGGGCTTTCAGCTGTTGCTGCCCTCGCAAGCGGTCAACCAGAAAGGGTGTGCGTCGCGACTGCCGTTGGATTGCTGCGTGCTGCGGCTCGGAAAGAAAGCGTGCCGATGTGCGCGATGCTCTTTCTGCCAAGTGCCCGCCGGCTTTATGCTACTCGAGGTCTACCCCGACTCTCGCGGGCGTGCGCTTTCTGCCAAATTCTCGCTCACGTGAGCACGTATATTTTGGTTGCCCCTCAGTTTTTAATTTCATGTTTGCGTGCCGCAAGTACATCGCTCTTTGAGATGGACTGGGCACTGCGAAACGTGCTGTTCATTGATCCGTCGTCACTGCACGATCTCGACCCGGGACGCTTCTGGGATCAGGTCACGAGTCATTTGCGCCTCTCCGAATTCGGCGGGCTGCGGCGCGGCGCGGCAGCGATGCCGGACAGTGCCCCCGCGGACGCGGACAAAACCGCAAAGTGTGAAACGATTCAGGTCGACTGCATTGTTAGTGCGAATGGCGTCTCGACGCGCATGAAATTGCGTCTCGATATGGCAGCGCGCACAGCCGAATTGCTGTGCGTGCGGCAGGAGCTCAGCAAAAAACTCTCGCTAGACCTGCTGGACACTGTGATGGTGCTGAACGCAAACTCTCTGGCGCTGAAATTCAGCTCCAGCGGCGTGCGGAAGAACGTGCAACTCAACCTGAGTTTCAGCAGCCGGAAATTGCTCTGCCTAGTCTCGAGCCGGTTGCATTTGCTGAAGCACGTAACCTTCGAGAACAACGCGGCGCCGGGTCTGTGCTCGAACGACGGCGCGCGCACTTCCGAGTGTTCGCAGCCGGCGCAAAGCTCGCTGAAAGACAATCTGTTCTGCGGTGCCACGCTGTATGCGCGCTCGCCGCAAAGCTCGGCGAACTGGACGGTCGCGAGGGAGCTTGGCTCGAGTTCCGAGAACGCGTTCGTCGACTCGCCTTTCGTATTCAGCGGGCCTTCTTTCCGCGTGAAGCCGGAGTTCATCGGCCGCTTTGTGCAGATCGAGGAAGCAGCGGAGGCTTCTCGCGCCGTCGAGGTACTCGGGCCTGTGTCGCTCTCGGAGCGCGCGCTGACGGAGTTGGTCAAGAACATCGTTCAGAACAACTACGCCGTGCCCGTGCACTTTTCCGTCAGCTCCATCGTTCACCTGCTGCGCGCGGTCAAGCTGAGCGCCGCTCCCGCCGCAATCAAGGACTTGCAGCGCCAAAGCACGCAGCTAATTTCCACCTCTTTAGGGATTAGCAACGAGGGCATTCGACTGCCGCTCGCAACTCCGAAACTCAGCGAGCTCCGCTTCGGTTTGGAGAGCTTCCGCATTATGCCGATTGCGCAGGCGAATCGCGAAGGGGACAGCAACGTGCGCGCTGCGCTGAGTTTCGTGCTCTTCTTCCGCACGGAGCGGAACGAAAACGAGTTTTTGAAACTAGTTATCATGTGCCCAAACGGCGACAAAGCGCTTCCGTTCTACTGTCATGTGCTGCTGCTGCAAACGACTTCCACGATCAGCTCGCAGTTCAACGAGTTGGAGCAACGCATGCTTGCGAACGACAACTCGCTGATCCGCAGTAGGCTGCAGGAATGCCTCGCGAACTTTCAGAAAGAAGAATACATGGCCGCAACTCAGGTTTCTGAGCTCTTCAACGAAAAAGCGAACAAGCTGCTGCACAACAGCGCTCCCGTGGTTCGAACTGCGCGCACCGATAAGAAGCTGGTAGAGCCTAAAAACACAATGGATAACTCCTCGCTCAACGCGTTCAAGCAGCAGATCGAAGAAGCGCGCCGCGAACAGGAAGAAAAGGCGAGTGCGGCTCTCAAGCAGGCAGAGCTCGAGCTGCTGAACCGAGAGAGCTCGAGCAGGTCAACCGAATTGACCGACGACTCCAGTTTTTCCTCGAGTTTGTAGCGCGGAAAACTGATCGATAAAATGCTTTACGCGGCACTATTCTTCGCAGCCTGCCCGGCGTCCGCGCTGCTCGGAGCCCTATTTGCAAAGCCGCACGGCGTTGTTCCGCTGCCGCCGATGCACGAAAACGGCAAATCGAAGCCAGAGGCACCACTCGGCGGGTATGACCGAGACGCCGTGTCACTCGAAGGGCTGTTCCAGGGCGACAAGGCGACCAGCGCGGACAAGTCGCTGCTGCGTTTGTTCAACATTAGCGATTTTGCGCATGCGCTGAGCGCGCAGTCTGCGAGCTCGCGAAAGAGTTTTAGCGACTATGCGCACTTCTTCAAAGACCGGCTCGGCCGACTGGCGGATCCGAACACTCAGCTGACGATATACGACCGTCTCTTCACCGCAGACGAGTCCAGCACAGCGCCCTCTTTGTTTAGCAACTTCTTGTGCAACCCGAAATACTCCGACTGTCTCACGGCCGCGCAACTCGGCCAGAGTATCGGCATGCCGCTCTACGACTTGATCACGAAAAACAACCTTTACCTGATCGGCGACAAGCTGTACAGTGCAGCGGAAAACGTTTACAATGTCGCGAAAAGTCCCATCACCGACTCATTCATTGAGACGTTGCAGTTCGAGCCGTACGTACGGACGGCGGAAGAAGTTGCGCGGCAACTGCTGAAGCCGTTCTCTGTGCTGAGCCCGAAAGAGTCGAATGTGTACACGCAAACTGTGGAAAACGCTCTAAACCAAGTCATTTTCAACAGCGCTGACAAGCTGGCGGTAGGCAGCGAAAAGCTCGACGACTACTACACGCTGGGTAAAGAGACCGTGCACAACCTGCTGAGTAGTAAAAAAATCGGGAATTTGCGAGGAGAGGCGCCGCAGGAACAGACCATGCAAGAGTTCGTTCGCGTGCTGGACCGCGCCGCTTACCGCGTTTTCCCTAACGTGTACGTAGAAGGCTTCGCAGACTCTTGCGCATTCAACGGCAGCTGCGAAACGAACAGCAAGAACCTGGTTCCTGAGCTGTTCGACGGCAGCTACGAGCTGCACGAGGTGCGTCTAGGACAAAGTATTCGCTTCCAGAAAAGTTTCTCGTCCTCGTACGACCGGCTGGTGTACCAAAACTACAAACAACTGCACGGCGTTGACTGCGACTACGGCCTGTTTCTGACGTTTCAAGACGGCCGCGTAACCATCGCGCCGGAGTGCCTCAACAATGTGCGCTCGCAGATGGCGCTGCCTACCGCGGAGTTCGAAACCGGCATGAAGAGCCGCACCGATCAAGTCTGCAAGACCGACTTTACCAACTTCCCAGACTGTCTGAATTTGCAGACAGCTTACTGGAAGCTCAAGCAAAAACACGTAAGTTCTGCAGCAGTTCCACGCAGGTCCACTCATGCAACGGCGTTGTCGCAGACGGCTACTGCGTCTTCCCCGTCAACGCGGCGCTGGTAGGCGCCGTGCGCGAAGCTTATGTGCCCGTGAACGTTGACAGCGACTAGATCAGCGCCTCTTGCAAGGCGAGCCGAAAAGCCTGCAGCTGGCCGCTGAGTTCGCTCTCGCACTTTTTGTGCACTGCGCAAATCGCGCACGCAACGCCCAGGCCCGCCGCGCGCGCGAGGGTAGCCTTGGACGACACGAAGGCTACTGGCGTGCGCTGCAGCTCGCACGCTTCCAAAATGACGCTAAACATGGTTAGCGGATCAGTGTCTGCCGCGAGCAACACTACGAGCGCTTCTTGTTTCTTTACGGTGCGGGTGCCTGCTGCGCCTCTGAGCTACTTACACGCTGACAGCCCCGTCACGATGCCGCCTCGCAGCTTCGCCAAATGAACCAGCTCTAGCGCCTCTGCCTCGCGCGACTGGCTGAGTCGCGGATAGACGAATCCCGACTGCTCAAGCACGGCAAGAAATTGATCACTGCAAATATAGCGAACAAATTTATTGTTATTTGTTAAATCGGTGAATCACATGTTGACGACGCGAGATGCCGCGGTGCACTCGATCGACGACGTGCTGCGAGTCACTGGGACAGATCTGGGCAGCGGACTGAGCGACGGCGAGGTGCGAAAAAGGCTTGCGCGATTCAAGCACAACAAACTGCCAGAGCTGCCTAAGACGCATTGGCTGTCGCTGATTGCGGCGCAATTCGAAGATCGTCTTGTGCAGATTCTGCTTGTCTCGGCCTGCGTCTCGTTCGCGCTGAGTGTGGTCGACTCGCAACTCACCTTTGAAGCCTTCGTCGAGCCCTGCGTTATTTTTCTGATTCTGATTGCGAACGCAGTCGTGAGCATTACGCAGGAGACGAAGGCTGAGAACAGTCTGGCTGCGCTGAAGAAGCTGCAGTCTTCCTTTTGCTTCGTGCTGCGTAATGGCCGTTGGAACAAAGTTCCGGCCGACGTGCTGGTTCCCGGCGACGTCGTGGAGTTGAAGTCCGGCCAGCGCGTGCCGGCAGACTGCAGAGTTGTCAAAATGACTTCTTCCGCCATCAAAGTCAAGCAGAGCGAGCTGACCGGCGAAAGCTGCGTGGTCTACAAGAACGCGGAGCCGATCGACAAGTCGGCAGCCAACGACTTACTGTCGCTGAGCAACATCTTGTTCAGCTCCACCGTTGTCGTCGCCGGCAACTGTCAGTGCGTCGTGATCACTACCGGTCAGCAGACCGAAATGGGCCGCATCCACTTTTCGCTTGCTTCGCAGAACGGCGAGGTGCAGACGCCGCTGAAAAAGAAGCTGGCGGAGTTCAGCGACTTTCTGAGCAAGCTCATCGCGGTGATCTGCGTAATCGCCTGGCTGTTCAACGTGCGCAAGTTCTACAACCACGGCAGCTTCGTGCGCGGCTGTCTCTACTACTTCAAGATCGCGGTGGCGCTCGCAGTCGCCGCGATTCCGGAGGGTTTGCCCGCGGTGATTACGACGTGTTTGGCGCTCGGCACGCGCAGGATGAGCCGCCGCAACGCGATAGTGCGCCGACTCGCCAGCGTAGAGACGCTGGGTTGCACCACGGTGATTTGCGCAGACAAGACCGGCACGCTCACATCGAACCAAATGCAGGTTTGCGCGTTCGCGCTCTTCGACGGCACGTTGCTGGAGCATATCGTGAGCATGGGTGAGACGCGGAACCCGCAGAGCGCAGCGTCCGACGCTGTCAATGCGGCGCACTCTGCGACGTACTTCAAGAACAGTCACCCGACCCACTTGAAAAACATTTGCCGCGTGCTTGCGCTCTGCACGGAAAGCCGCATCGTGTACGACGACAGCGAGCAGCTGAAGTACAGTGGCGACCCGACGGAGATTGCGCTGAGCGCGTTCCTTGAAGAGCTGCAGTTTTCGACCGCTGATCAGCTGCTCCCTGCGTCCGAGGAAGCGGCGGCGGAGAAGAACGCGTATTTTGCGATCTGGCGCGCCGGCGTCAGTTTGCAGCACTTGTTTGAGTTCACTAGCGAGCGCAAGATGATGAGTGTGATGGTTCGCAGCCAGGCGAACAAATGCAGCGTGTACACAAAGGGCGCGCCCGAGCCGATTATCGCGCGCTGCACGCAGTACATCGACAGCAAAGGCGCGCTCTGCGCGCTAACGGAGCCGATGAAACGCAAAATCTTGGAGCGAGTGCACTTCCACAGCGCGGCAGCGCTGCGCAACCTGGCGATGTCGGCGAAACACTTCGAAGACAGCGGCGAACTGGACTTGAGCGCCGACAGCGTGGAGCGCGGCATGACGTTCCTCGGCTTCTGCTCGATGCAGGATCCGCCGCGGCCCGACGTCAAGCCGGCGTTGGAACGCTGCCACAAAGCGGGGATTCGCGTGATCATGATCACCGGCGACCACCAGCTAACGGCGGAAGCGGTTGCACGGAAAATTGGTTTGTCCGGCCGCGCGGACTGTCGCTCCTCGCTCAACGCTGCGCAGTTCAACGAGCTGAGCTACCCGGAAAAGGTGAATTTCTTGAAGCACCCGCAGGGCGCGATCATTTCGCGCGCGAAGCCGGAAGACAAGCTGCACATCATCCAGATTTTCCAGGAGAACGACGAGATCGTCGCGATGACGGGCGACGGCGTGAATGACGCGCCAGCGCTGCGCCGCAGCGACATTGGCATCTCGCTCGGCTTGAGCGGGACGGAAGTCGCCAAAGAAGCGTCCGACATTGTGCTAGCAGACGACAACTTCGCCACAATCGTGGCCGCAATCGAAGAGGGTCGCGCGATTTACAGCAACATGAAGTGCTTCATTCGCTACTTGATCAGCTCGAACATCGGCGAGATTTGCAGCATCTTCTTCGCCGCAGCGCTGGGCATTCCGGACGTCTTTCTGTCGATCCAGCTGCTGTGGGTAAACCTCGTCACGGATGGGCCGCCCGCGACGGCGCTGAGCTTCAACCGCGTCGAGCCGAACATCATGGAGCGGCCGCCGCGGCCGCCGACTGAGCCACTGATCTCTTCGAAGACTCTGGCGCGCTACTGCGTAATCGGCTTCTACGTCGGCTTCGCGACGGTCGCCGTGTTTATCTGGCACTTTACGCAGCGCACGCAGTCGGGCTACTCGCCCATCACGCTCGGCATGTTGCGCGACTACGGCAGTTGCGCGAAGTGGGCCGACTTCAACCCCAGTCCGTACCTGCGCCGCAGCGACGCGCCTGGCTACGACCTCTGCGACGTGTTTAGCTTTGGCGCGATCAAAGCGTCCACCCTTTCGCTGACGACGCTCGTCGTGCTCGAACTGCTGAACGCGCTGAACGCGTTGAGCGAGCGGCTGAGCGTGCTGTCGATTGGAGTGTTTTCCAACAAGCTGCTGCTTTGGGCGCTGAGCTGCAGTCTGCTGATCCACCTCGCGGTGCTCTACGTGCCACCGCTGCGCGCGATCTTCCACCTCCAACCGCTGAGCTTGTACGAGTGGGTGGTGGTTGCAGCGTTCTCGCTGCCAATCGTGCTGCTCGACGAGGCGATCAAGTACTACGAGCGCAACTTGCGCAACCTCTGGTTTGTACGTCGCACGCTCGTCGGGAATGCGCGCAGCAAAATCCAGATTTAATTTTTTTTGCGTATACACCGATCTACATGTCAAATAAAGATGTCTGCTCCGGACTGCTGTTTGGAAAGCCGCAATGAGCTAAGCTGCTGGGGTTTTCGGCGGTTCAGCCTACAGCTGCGCGCCGCAGGAGACGAAGTTCAGTGCAGTGAGCGTCGATTCGCTCTCGTCCGAAAGTCCGTTCTCGGAAAACGCAGTTTGCAGCAGGTTGTCGGCCACGTGGAGCACTGCGTTTCGGTAGCTCATCAGCTTGTCGAAGCTACAGCAGAGCATACTCTCGCGCGTTTTGGTTTCAAACACGTAGCCGTTGTACAGCGCGGCTCGGAGTTCGTCGCACGGCGAGCCGCCCGGCGAAGCGCACAGCGAGGCGGCGTCCGCGCCGCACTTGTGAAGCAGTTGCGTGGCGGCCGCGTGCCAGAGGCGTCGGTAGTTGCGCCTGGCGAGTTGGAGCTGTACGGCGCGCACGAACTGAAGCGCGAGCGGTGCGCTGAATATTTCCGGTTTTCCTCCAACGCTTGTTGCGCGCCCGCATTTCGACGAAGCGGCGGCGCTGCGCTGCAAATCTTCGGAGGTCGCGGGCGGCGCATCGGGGTTGCGAAACAGTCCGCCCCACAGGTCGAACGCGCTTGGTTGCGTGGCGAGCAGCTCGGCGATTGCCAGCGCGGCAGCGTAACTCAGATTGTGGCTCAGCGCGCGGTAGTTGCGCAGCGCAGCCGGCTGCGTCAGTGCAGCCGCCACGAGCAGGTGAGCCGTGCAGAGCGCGAAGAAACGGACGCAGTCCGCCAGCGCAACGCTCTCGGCAGCCCGCGGTGCGAGCGCGCGCAGCGCGGCGGCCAGCAGCGCTTCGGTGCTCGCGTCGCTAGCGCCGTTTTCGCTGAGCAGCGCGAGGCTCAGCTGCAGCGCGACGTGCGGCATGAAGCTGCGCAGCACTTTGCGCTCGCGCAGTTCTTGGATAAAGCGCGAGAACGGCGCGGCGGAGCGGTAGGCGCTGACGTACCAGATGACGGTGAGGCTGAAGGAGGTGCTGTCGTACACGCCGAGCAAAGTCTCGGCGCGCGCAAGCACCGTCGCCGTGAGATGGAGGCAATGCGCCGCCAGTGTGGCGGGGATTGCTGCGTGCGAGCAGAGCAGCACCAGCTCTTGCGCGAGCTGCGCGTGCTGGCTGGCCGCGGCGGCGGACAGCGCAGAACGGTCGGGCGGTGCGGGCGCGCGCACTGAGCACTGGAGCGGCAGCTGGGTAGGTCGCGTGGCGGAGTCAGATATTATTGGCTGTGTGTCGCGCAGTGCAATTTTGCGGGCGCAATTTGCGGGCGCAATTTGCAGCACAAAAAGCAGCGCAAATTGCGGCGCAAATTGCGGCGCAAAACGCGCCCGCAAAATTGCGGACGTTCACTTGGAAATTGCTTAGAAATTGCGAAAATTGTCTTCGCGGCGCGAATTGGGTTAGGCGCTGCTTGGTTTTCTTCGGCTCGGAGCGGCGTTGAGCGAACGCTGCGCGAAGGCTGCAGTGTGGGGCGACGCAGGCGCGGCGCTGCTCGCGTGGCGCGCGAGTGCGGAGTTGAGCGACCGCGGGCTCGGCGCGTTCGCTGCGCTGCTCGCGGCGGAGATGGTCCTGTGCTTCGCGGCGGTGAGCGCGGGAGTGGCGCGCGGCTACGCGCTGTTTCTGCAGCACGGCGTCTGCTCGCACGACCTGAACAAGGCGCCGCGCGAGGCGACGCGGCCGGTGCCGGAGGCGATGGGCGTGTACGCCGGCGTGTGCTACGTGCTGGCGCTGTGCCCAGTAATCTCGTACATGCGCGCGCGCGTGGAGCTGTCGGAGCTCGCGAACGAGTTCGGCGGCCTGTTTACGACGTTGCTGATCTTCTTGGTCGGCGTTTTGGACGACATGTTTGACATCCGCTGGCGCTACAAAGTGATGCTGCCAGTGCTCAGCACGGTCCCGCTGCTGTCCTTTAGCAAGGCGTTCAGCATCTTCGAGCTCGCGGCGAGCGCGCGCGCGTGCAGCGGCGCGGCAGCGCGCAGCTGGCAGTGCGCGCTGCCGCAGTTCCCGCGCGTGGCGTGGCTGGCGCGCGTTCTGATGTGCATCTTTTACCCGAATGCAGTGAACATTTACGCGGGCGTGAACGGCTTGGAAGTCGGCCAGAGTTTGGTGATCGCGCTGGGGTTTGCGGCGTCCGCGTTTGGGAGTTACCTGGTGGCGGGCGACGAGCGCTGCTTGCTGACGTTCGCGGCGGCGTTGCTGTTCGCTAGTTGCTCGTACGCGCTGTTTGTGCACAACTGCTACCCGGCGCGCGTGTTCGTCGGCGACAGCTACACGATGTTTGCGGGAATTGCGCTGAGCTGCATGAGTTTCAGCGCGAACATGTTCTGCTTCTTCCTGGTGGCCACGGCGCCGCAGATCGCGAATTTCGCCTACAGCTTGCCACAGCTGCTGAAGCTGAAGCCGTGCCCGCGGCACCGCACGCCGACGTTCAACGCGGCGACGCAGCTGCTGGAACCGACGGAAAACTACACGCTGCTGAACCTGTGGCTGCGGCTGCGCGGCCCGCTGCACGAGCGGCAGCTGGTCGCGGAGCTGCTCGCGCTGCAGGCGGCGGCGACGGCGGCGGGTGTGGTCGCGGAGCTGGCGGTGCGCTGCTAACCGCGGAGCGCCGGCGCGTCGCGCACGCGCGCCGCGGCAACGCGCCGCACGTGCCGCTCCCCACGAATTTCAACACCGCTTTGCACCTTACATGCAATGAGTGAGCGAGACATTCGGATGAGCAGTTCCGACAACAGCGACGTGGTCTCCAGCGCGCCCGAGAACGACTTCGCCGAGAGCTACGTGACTGAGAAAGGCCAGCACGTGATCGGCGGGCTCGGCGGTGGCACGGCGCCGCCGTTCGGCGTGCTGCAGCACCACGCGTTGCCAGAAATGCAGTTAGCGGGCAAACTTTCGCGGCGCGGCTCGCAGATTATCAAAGTGAAGCGCAAGACGAGTCGCGAAGGCGCGTCGACGGGCATGTCGGCGAACCTTTCGGCAAGTCCGTCGGCGATCCCGGAGGCGCACCCGCAGGCGGGCGCGCAGGCGGGCGTGCAGGCGAATGCACAGACGAATGCGCAGCCGCGGCGTGCGGACGCGACGCCGGTCGCGCGTCAGGCGGGCGCGTCGCTGGAGCCTTCGCAGTTGAACTCGGTGGTGCACGTGTACCGCGGGGAAGAAATCGCGCCGACGGCGAACGTCGCGCGCGCGCCGCTCTACACCGCGGCGCCGCGCGAGTCGGGCGCAGAGCCGCCGAGCTCCAAGTCGACTTTGCGTTCCGCGATCGGGCACTTCGCGCAGCAGATCAGCGAGCGCATGTCGCGGCAGGTCGCACCGACTGCCGCGGCGGACGCGAAGCAGACCGCGGCGCAGCTG